TTCAGTTTTGAAAGATAATCACAAATATATTTACAAAAATAGTTAATATGGGGGGTGGTTGGTGCCCATAGTTTCTGTTAGGGTGATCATAGAGCAACAGGGAGAGCAGTCAGGGTTATAATCAACATTCCTCTTTGGGGATGAGGTACTTTCTGGTACTTTCTCTTCTTCGTCTTCCTCAGAGAGATTCTTCACCAATTTCTGCTGCTCTTGTGTAAGACTTACAATCGCAAAAAGTAGGTCTAGGTCGATTAGAAACGCAACAATGTTCAGATCAGACATTCTAGCATTCCAATCTAGCACTTTGCGACAATATATAGAAAATATAAATTAACAAACAACAGTGTGTTGTACACAACCCTACAACCATAAAATCTGAGCAAATATATTAATATTATTTCCAAAATAATATTACGACAATTTGTCCTAAAATCGCCAAGTTTGACAGAATTTTACGAATTTTAATTGGAAAAACTGATGGACAAAATTGAAGAAAATGGAAAGTTTTTAATGTCTCTAGTAATTATTTTTTCTTTAAGGAAACTGAGACAATTTTGTACACACTTGTTAATCTCGTGTCTTCAATAAAGGTTGCGGTATATCAAATATTTTCAGAGTTATTCTTTGAATCCTGATATACATGCTAAAAGGTACAACTACCTCAAGTTTTATCCATGAGTGTATCTTTCAGAGTTATTTTTTTAATCCCGATATACATGCTAAAAGGTACAACTTCCTTAAGTTTTGTCCAAGATTGTACCTTTCATAGTTATTGTTTAAATCCCGATATACATGCTAAAAATTAAACTTCCTTCTTTAGGGCTCTGATACCATTTTGGATTATTCTGTTTTTATATGTTACACTGAAGGATATGGAATTCAACTATGGAAATAAGCTCATAAATACAACTCGGTAATTAAATTGTTTCATATTTAAATATATAATATCCACAAAAATATTTGAACTATTCTTAATTTCACCAAATTAATATCCTATAATTTAACTAATAGATTGTTATTCAATTCCGAAGGTTAATTTTCTTTGCTAAAGAATCACTCCACGTTAATTTGTTAATAAACTCAACGCTGATTTAATGTTTACGGTAACATGACAATAAACAGCCCATTAGAGATAATCAATCTCCACGTTTACAGACCTAACAACCAAACAACGCGATTACAACAAAAAACAAATATATGTCCATTCAATTTTTTTCCCCACTCAAGTACAAAGTTCACTTGGTCTACCGCCTACCCATATCTTAATAACCTCCGCTAGGTCATTTTACAATATAGAAATAGAATGTTTGAAGATATGAAGGAAAATATAAAATTTCCAATTTATTGTCTTTAAAAATTTTGAAAAAAAAAATAGGTTTACTTTTTTTTTGCTTTTTTTTTTTTTTTTTTTTTTTTAGGGGGGGGGAGGGGGGTCTGTTGTAGGGAAGAGGGACATCGTTGTGCCCAGCTCGCGGCTTAGGGTCACCAAGGTTGGTGGGTCAGACCGGGGCTCCGGAGGTCGACGGGGCGGGAGACCGAGGCGGATCGCAACGGGGAAAGGCGGCGGGGCGCCCAAGGAGGAAGGGGGACTAGCGACGGGCTGGACGTCCGCAGGAATCGCCGCACCGCAGGCTTTCCCGAGGCCCACGGCGTCCGGCTGATGTTCGCGGGGGGCTGCTCCTGCAGGCAAACACCGTGACACATCAGGGCCATGTTCTATTAGAAATAAATCAATAAAATAAAGGTGGAAGACGAAATCTAAGTTTGCCTACCCCGCAGCCGCCAGGGACCCGTCGCTGGTGGTCTGTCCACTGGTCTTCCTCCTGGGACTCCTGATGTTGGTGGAGAGCTGATGGTGAATTGCTTCCCCACCGTCTTGTCCGCCGTTGCTTTGCTCCACCCCAGGTAGTTGAGGGGATGGAGGACGGGATGGTGTCCACTCCCCAGGAATGAAGCAGGCGTCTTCCTCCTTCTGTCTCCAGGCCTGGATGGTGATGGTTTGGCTGCCTCCGCCGACTCCGTCAATTGAGCTCCTCCTGTAATGTTGGGCAGTAATATATTTTGAAAGCATTAAGTTATTTAAAATTGTTAGTACCACAGAAAGAAAGTGGATCTCAAAGGTTGAAGCTATATACAGTGAGAATTATGTAAAGTATAAATTCATCATATTTCCTTATAATAAACAAATTTCCATTTTCTCCATAACTGTAACACTTTTCTCAAAATAGATTTCATATTACTGAAGGAATCTGTGGCAACCCATATAAGATTCTTTCTAAAATTTATATACAAATCTCTGTCATACAGTTTACTTCTTGTATTAATTCAAGAACTTTGACTATACATTTTTGGTTTAGATTTATATTTAATACCTTTCACATGTATTGACAAAGTGAATGTAGGTTAGGCCTAATCTATAAAGATCTCATCTGTTTACCTTGCGCGCGCTAGCCATTTATTGTTTTAACAAAAGGCTTGAGACATATAAATCAGTGACCATCCTTTCTGTTAATACAGAATTTATACCAACCATATTGAAAATTTAAGGATATTTTACCAGAATGAATTTTCACATAATCTGCTTCTGTAAACTGAAGACAGAAATATTCAAATGAAAAGATTTCCATGGCCTTTTTTCTCTTCGCCTTTATAATTTCGTCAGGAAGACAGAGTTTCCTAGTATTTCCTGTTATCTGGAATGGACGAACCAGTCGGGAAAAACAGTGGAGCCACGTGGAATGGCAAAAACTCAGTTCTCCTCTCTTGCTCTAACTGCTGGGTCGATTTTGCTCATGTACATAGTTTGTTCTTGCTTAAAAAAAAATTCAGTGTAATTCTAAAGTTTGTTTTCCATTATTTTCCACGTGACATTTTGGTGGAGATGTTGGGTAAATTAGGGAAGACAAACTGAAGACCGCCGAGAAGACTTAGAGGCCATAGGTGCTATGATCTTCATTTTCAGAGACTGATATCAGGATTCCAAAGAAGTGTCAATATTCTGATTCTGAATCTTCAGCTTTCTAACTTTTCTTCATCATTCATAGAGTTCTCAACTCAACAATGCATTATAACCAGGTCATTCCACAGGATTACTTTATGAACAAGGTTGTATTTGTTTCCGGGTACAAAGTGAACCACAGCTTATGTAAGGACACAAGCTTGTACTTGTATCCAGGTACAAAGTTCACTTCGTTTCTATCCTACTCATAGCTTACTAACCTCCACTAGGTCTTTTTAAAATATAGAAAATGATTGTTTGAAGATATAAAGGAAAATATAAAATTCCAATTTATTCCTTTGTAAATTTTGAAAAAAAATTGGTTTACTTTTTTTGTTATTTTTTTATATTTTTTTAGGGGGGGGGTTAAGGGGGGGGGGGCTGGTTTTAGGGGAGAGGGACATCGTTGTTCCCAGCTCGCGGCGTGGGGTCACCGAGGTCGGTGGGTCTGACCGGGGCTCCGGACGTCGACGGGGCGGGAGACGGAGGCGGATCGCAACGGGGACAGGCGGCGGGGTGCCCGAGGAGAAAGGGGGACTTGCGACGAGCTGGACGGCCACGGGAAACGCCGCACCGCAGGCTTTCCAGAGACCCACGGTGTCTGGCTGATGTTCGCCGGGGGCTGCTCCTGCAGACAAACACCATTTGAAATCAAGGCCATGTTTTATAGGAAAATCTAGAAATTCAGGCGTGGAAGACAAGATCTAAGTTTTTGCTTACCCCGCAGCCGCCCGGGACCCGTCGCTGGTCGTCTGTCCGCTGGTCTTCCTCCTGGGCTTCCTGATGTTGGTGGAGAGCTGATGGTGAAGTGCTTCCCCACCGTCTTGTCCACCGTTGCTTTGCTCCACCCCAGGGAGTTGAGGGGATGGAGGACGGGATGGTTTCCACTCCCCGGGAATGAAGCAGGCGTCTTCCTCCTTCCGTCTCCATGCCTGGATGGTGATGGTTTGGTTGCCTCCGCCGACTCCGTCAATTGAGCTCCTCGGCCAGACTTGGTCCTCGGGGAGCTAAGTAGCTCCCCTCCACCTGGCCCCGGGGATGATCATCAACCCGGGGCATCTCTTCACCCCGATGACCCTCTCTTTGGGTGGATGTTTGGGGCTCTGCCGCGGCTGGGTTTGTGGTTCCAATTTCCTGTCTTTATGCACCCTCTC